TACCCATCTATTAAAATCTTTTATGGATCTCAGTAAAGTTTGATAGTTCCATAACTCTATTTAATTTTACTTTTATTTCTTTGTTCTCTACTTCTAGTTGTATGGACTAGTTTGCCTATTCCTGCAGTGATGTGAAACGTATGCATACTATCTGAAATTTCCTAAGTAGTTACACCTTTAAGGTTTTAAAAACATTCTTGATTCTGTTTCATTATCGCTCCTCTCACTTAAAAACAGAAAGCTAACCTACTCCTAAGGATACTTCCCCCTTGTTTTTTTGTAAACAATCTGAAATTTTAAAAAAATCTACATATAGCAAAATTCACTTTTTTGAAGGGAATACAGTTCTGTGAATTGACAAATGCAGTCACGGAACCATCACCACAATCAGGATACAGAACAGTTCTCAAACTCCCTCAAAATTTCCTCCTGCTGTCCCTTTGCAATCAAACCATCCCCCAACCCCAACTCCTGATCTGTTCTCCATCCTTATAGTTTAGCATGATCTCAGATTCTTATTAATAAATATAATAGGACTACATTTAACCTTATTAATTTCATTGGTTTCTAGATTAGCACTCCATAGGGCCAAAATAAGCCTGCTCTGTCACTTCTATCATCAGCTCATTCTGGGCTCTTTTTTTTTTGAGACAGAGTCTCACTCTTTTGCCTGGGCTAGAGTGCCGTGGCGTCAGCCTAGCTCACAGCAACCTCAAATTCCTGGGCTCAAGCAATCCTTCTGCCTCAGCCTCCCAAGTAGCTGGGACTACAGGCATGTGCCACCATGCCCGGCTAATTTTTTCCATATATTTTTTTTAGTTGTACGATTAATTTCTTTCTATTTTTAGTAGAGACGGGGTCTCGCTCTTGCTCAGGCTGGTCTCGAACTCCTGAGCTCAAACAATCCGCCTGCCTCGGCGGCCTCCCAGAGTGCTAGGATTACAGGCGTGAGCCACCGCGCCCAGCCTGGGCTCTTCTAATCAACATTGAAACACATGGCATTCTAAAAGGTTGCAAATTATCTGGGTCTAAATTACCTCGTTTCTTGTTTTAATTCACAAAATAAGTATCATAACCTGTTGGCTGTCCAAGAAATAAGATGTCTATCTCTTTGAAAAGGGCTAGCACTCATACT